TAGTTTTTTACTTCATGATTACTACTGAATGATGGTTGATGATTGATTTGATTTGTATAATTAGAGTTGGCTAATTGACTGCTGCTTGTGATTCAGCTATTCAAACGTATGATGATTGTTGGTGGAGAGTAGTAATCACTAATCAGTTGCCCAAAATTTTGAGATTGTGATCAGCTGTTTGAAACGTATATTGTTGGTGTGAGTATTAGGCTATGTTTTGTAAAACTAGCTGATAAGCTAGCTTATAGCTTATATGTAATTTTCGAGTTTATAGTTAAAAAGTTGGCTTATATGATAAAAGTGTTTGGTAAAATTAGTTGATAAGCCCAGCTGGAATAAAAAATTCAACTAGCTCATTTTGAAAAGCTACCTAAACAAGCTTATCAAATAAGCTCGAGTTTTTTAAATAAGTCCGTCCTACCAAACATGACTTATTTGAATACAGGAAGCTTATAAGCTAACCAAATAAGCTATAAGCTAGCTTATTTGGTTTACCAAACATAGCCTTAATGAGTTACTCATTTTGAACACACCAAAATGCACATTTGTATTGAAAAATGTTATGTTTTTTTTTCTTGTATTATCTTTTAGGGAAATGCTAAGGTCTCGTTACAAAACAATTCCGTCGAGTTTTATAACCGTTATCATCATGTAATCATAAGAGATAGTTGTTACATAACTATTCCGTCGGGTTTTTAACTATGCCACTTATATATAAAAGTACGGTAATACTCCCCTATCCACGGTGGACACATGTTAATATACCCACCGTTTATGAGGCATACACACATTGGTCATGTATTTTTTTGAACATATTAACATCACCAGTGAATGCATACCACATAAACGGTAGACATATTAACATGTGTCCACCGTGGGTAGGGGAACATTATAGCTGCCTAAAAGTCGCATGCCTATTTGCTGTGGACTAACGAGCAATTTCATGTGATATAAGGAAAATAGTGAACTTGAGTAGTAGCACACCAAATTTGGTACCATACTAAAATGACATGTCCTTGTACAAAATGAAACAAGAAAAACCAACCCACAATGAAAACACCAAATAGAGAGAAAAAATAGCAGAACACTAATAGAAATGCCGTCCTTTGCTTTCTACATTTGGGGAAAATATACAGAAGTCTCCTTGGCTCCACGCCTTCGGGTTCAGTTTTCTTTCTTTCATTTTTTTTTTTCTTTTTTTTTTTGTTCGGAGTAAGAATGATTGTGACAATTAACATCGACAAACGACTACACTTAAGACAGTCACAGCTCACAAGACACAACTGCAAACATGGCCACAAAGTGAATTTCAGTTCACAGGAAATAATCAGGAGTCTTGCGGGTCGTGTCTGGCTCGATCTGCCGTGGGGCCGGGTCAAACTGAAGGAAGTTCTGCTCCATGTTTTCTCCAATTTCGAGTATTGCAGCCATGTTCCCACATCGATAGCAGTAGTTCGGAGCACTAAACACTGTCACCACATTCTTTTCCTACAAAATCCAATTCAATTTTCTTTAGATATGAGGTAAAAACATGGTAAAGTTGCTTTTTTAGTCCTTAATGTCATTGCAATTTTAGTCCCATGGTTCCAACATTTCGCTTTTTGGTCATGTGATTTAATATTTTGCTGCAATTTCAGTCATTTGAGAACTAAAATTGCAACAAATTCCCAAATTCTCAGATTTTTTATTAGCAATATAAGTCTTATATATTCTTCTCTCCTTAGCTTCTACAACTATGCCCCTCAAATTACTGAAATTGTAGCAAAATATTAAATCAAAGGCGAAAAGTTCAAATCTTGGGACTAAAATTGCTATAAATTGTTATGATGTTAAACCAGCAGCATGACTAAAAATGAATTTTTGCCTGAAAACATTCATATTAAAGATCCAACCTGACACCAATTGTAACCCTCCATGACAAGCTGGTGAGCTCTTGAAATGAGTGTGAGGCCATTGGTGTGATTGAATTGAGAAGCTATGTCCTGCCCGAACGTGTAACCGGCTCCACGTGGGGAGATTCCCCATCCACATCGATCGTCCGGGTCAGACCACAAGAGATCGCACATTGGACCTTCGTGTGGGACCTAAACACAGTCGAACGACATGTAAATTGACTTGAAAAAACAGCGTTATTACCGAAAGTGAATTTTAGTACATGTATAAAAGTGGATAATTTTGTAATTTTTGTTTCATACTTCCTGTATGCGGTCTAAAGCTCGGATATTATCCAAGGTATCAAGTGAAGGTGAAAGGCCACCATGCAAACAGAATATCTGCAAGAAAAAGCAAAGTAAAACATCAGATATGATCGACACGGGATAATCAATCAATGTGAACGGGAGCTCAATTTTTGTAAAACCAAACCTGGCTCTCGATCAGTGCTGTCAAGGGCAAGTAATCAAAAAGATCAGTGAAATACTTCCACACATTGGCATTGCCGTACTTCCTCAGGCATTCGTCATAAAATCCATACCTGGTGTTAAAGTTGTATTGAGAAAGCAGATAGAATTAGAGGCAAGAAGAAAATCTAGAACTCATCATAACATTTAGATAAGAAAAATGATCCTTTTCAATGGAAAAAATCATCCGAATTAATCATCTATGTATATGCATTCACACGTTGTATCCAGAAATTGGATTGCCTATTGCTGTTGAAGCCAACTTTTCCAGAGGTGGCCTTCAAACTTTATATGACACAGAACAGATGCTTTTCAAGCCACACAAGTACTGTTCCTTTACAAATTACAACATTGAAAATCCTTTTACAATTTTCAACAGAACTTTATTTTTACAAATTAATGGCACTAACAATAACTTTAGACAGATTCTGTGGCAACAACTGAAGTATTATAAATCAATATGGACAGTATAGCCAGCAAAAGATCAGTGGAGAAGATAAAGGTCATACACTTGAGTGATTTGGCGACTTTCATGATTTCCTCTAAGGATCGTTATCCTATCTCTATAACGAACTTTCAGAGCCACTAAGAGCGTTACTGTCTCCACAGAGTAGTAACCACGGTCTGCATGAAAAATAATGTCCCATAAGTGGAATGTTTATTCACGTCAAATGAGGCTTACAGTTTCCAAAAGCAATTAATTAATTAAGCCAAAAAAAACCAAGTATAACTACCATATGTAAAAAAAAAAGAATAATAATAAGAAATCTTTTTTGTTTGTTCTAGTGCGTAAAAGCAGAATCACTAGAAAGCAATAAACCCACTTAAAATTTTATTTATTTTTCTTCTTTCACCCAATTTGGTGTACCATAAAGATGAATAACTAACAATAAAATACCAAAAATGAAAAGAAAAACAAAACCCTAAAGGAGTCACGTTCCCTAATTTGCATCAGAAATTTATCGTCAGCATTGTCAGAAGCCAAAGTCCCATAATTGAATGAAGCCAAAGTCCCAATGGCGCATTCCACAGGAATACAAAGACACGAACAATATCATGGAAGGCATAACTAATATTACGTGTCACAGATCAACATTTTATCATCCGAGTATAAACGATTCGCCTATTGGTTTGTCATAAAAGCTAAACTAAGACAAAATAAAAATTATTAACAGATTGCCGTCAGCCATCATCTGAAACAGCATGTAATTGGATCCAAATGAAGGAACAACCACCATTTCAAGAAAATATCTTACGGCAGTGCATGAATTGGCATGTTACATATACGTGCAAAATAAAGAGTTTCTTTTAGCTTCTTCAGGATATATCCAGCCCACTAGCAAACCAGGAAGCATTAAGTAATATCCTATCTCTAATTTAACTAGTTAGTAGGTAACTATCCTAAGAAGAATTACAAGATTTACTGCAATTCGGTTCAGATTTGGGGGGGATAAAAATCCTCAAATATCAGCTTTCGCTTCGCTTAGTTGTATTCTACTTCAAAGTTAAGCCACCGAAAGGAATCGAAAAAGAAAAACCAAAATATAGGCATTGCCTAGTAAATATTACTTAAATCCTATCAATTATTAACGCGTCTTCATAGTTATTAGTCATGTAATCTACTTAATAAGCTCAAACTAAAACAGCTCCCACAAGTAAATCCACTGGATGTTCCAACTACAAGCCACAAACACCAAACTCAACCCCACACCAAGAACAAAATCCACAAACTACTCATCTCCATGTCCATCAACACTAAAAATCTCAACTTAAAACACATCCAATCAAACAAACAGATCAGAAAACAAGCCCCCTTCAATAAATTCACATCAAAACCAAAAAAAAAAGGGCAAGAAGAAGCAACCACTCACCAACATAGTCCCCCATGAACAGATAATTGGTGTCCGGCGCATTCCCGCCGATCCGGAAGAGCTCAATCAGGTCATAAAACTGGCCGTGGATATCGCCGCACACGGTGACGGGGCACCTCACCGGCTGCACGTTCCACTCCTCCACCAGGACCGCCCGCGCCTGATCGCACAGGGCCTTCACCTCCGCCTCCGGCAGCGGTTTGCACTCCATCAGCTGCTCTATTTGCCTGTCCAGATCCCCGTGCACCGGCATTGTCGCTAGAAATATTTCTCCCGTTAACACAAAAAAAAAAAAAATAAAAAAAAATCCCTCAATTTTTTTTTTCCCGATCCGAATTGTGAGCTCGCAGGCCCAGCTGGTGCCGTTGCCGCCGCTGTATCACCTGAGATCTGGAATTCGGAGATTCTTATGATAATTTGGTGCGGCTTTTTTCTTCATGATACTTTTGCTCATATATGTATGCATACAATATACATACAGATATGGAGATCTGTATATATATATATATATATGTGTGTGTGTGTGTGTGTGTATAGGTTGGCGCCGAGTGCGTGAAGAACTGTGAGAGAAGGAGAAGAAATGGTGAGATGCGAAATGAAATTCAAATGAAATCCAAATGAAAACGTGATGTTTTGAAACTCTGTGTGTGTAATTATTATTTTATTATATTATTATTATTATTGAATTTTAATAAAAGAAATTAGCAATTTCTCTGCCCGGGGACTCTCTTTTGAAGTGCCGGGTCAACTCAAAACGGTGCGGGACACGTGGCTTGCTGACAGCGAAAGGGACCGTCCGACCGTGGTTAAACCTTGGTGGGCCTATCAGGTCCTCTAGTCGGGTCTTATCCATTCCTTAATGGGCCAATGGGAGGTGGGGTTTATTGGACAGACTCCACTATTTGGGCTGTAGTCTTTTTGTAGGACTGGGATTCTACGATTTGGGCTAGTTTAAATATAACTATGATGAATCTCACAGCCCAGCCCAAATTAGAATCACTATGGCAAATATTGCATACAAAATAAAAGGTTAGAAAATAAAGTTGAGAATATCTTAAAAGGGGATAAAAGCAGTGGCAAAAGGAAAGAAATTCATGCTGTGGTATGCTTTATTTCAAATTTAATTTCAAATATAACATTGAGAGAAAGTTGTTTTGTTTGTTACCTTTAATTATTGTTGTATGAGTCTCTTAGAGATTAAGGTTTCTCCAATAATAAAAAAAATAAATAAATAAAAAGTCCACTAGTTTTGAGTATTTGGTCCAATAACATTTTATAGATTTTAATTTGGAAGACATTAATTTGATACAACGACTTACAATTTTCTGATGTGTTTGACACGTTTCCTGCAATAAATGCGCATTGGACATGTGTCAGTACGTAAAGTTATGAATGACTTCTTATGGAACCATCCGATGACTCCATAGTTTCTGTTCTACAATGTTGCATTACGAGTGAATGGTCCGAATTTGAAATTTTCATGACAAATTTGAAATCATGGTAGTTACAAATTAGGAAACATATGCAAACATATACATATGTATTGAAAACGTATGATTGCGTAAATTTTCGAACAAAAAATATTGCAATCGAATTATCCGTTGGAATTTGTATTGAATTATGATACCATATAATCTCCCTTTCTTTAGTGATTAGACCCATAGTGTCACTTACATATCCCCAACAAAGAATCTGGTGAAAAGGACCAACTCCAAAGATGCTACATGCACACTTTTTTTTTTTTTTGGCTTTCCTTTTATTTTTATTTAATTTTTAAATAAATATTATTCCTTTTCCAGTTGAAAACACCTTTAAATGGTGGATTCGCTTTTGTTTTTTCGGGACACAAACTCTACAACTCATTAGAAATGTTAAATATATATATATATATATATATAATAAAATAAAATAAAATAAGCTAAAAGCAAAAGCTTGAAAGTACTTTCACAGTAATTCGAGCATAAGAAATGTTATTACATAGCCGAATTTGAACGAACGTTCGATCGATAGATAGATAGCGACTAAATAGTTTTGCAGAATTAAAATGCACGATGAAATCGATTAATTTCATATGAACAAAACAAATTAAGTACGTACGTACGTACATGAATTGTGAGATTTCACGGATTCTAACTTCATATTCGACATACAGAAGTTTAGTTAATTACTTAAAACTGAGCTAATAAGCATTGATGATCATCACTAGCTGGAATTATATTAATTTTGTGCAAGAAAAATTGGATATATTTCCCCAGATTATCTTCAATTTATCTTGCTAAGCTTGGCCTGGTGGCTTACTGGAGTTGCCTGCTCTTCTGTTGCAAAATAAAATTTATACAAATATATTAAATTTAAAATTCAACAATGTGACCATTAAAAAGAATGATTAAAAAAAAGGGGCTAACATAAAAAGGGAAAATTCTAATGTCCCCTTACGGCATGGTGCCGTCAGTGTTTTTAACCATTGGATACGCATAAAGATTATCTTGTGTGGATAATCTACGGTAACCAACACTGACGGAACTGTTCCGTCAACGAGATTGTAGTAGCTCCCCATAAAAAGGGTGAAAAAAAAAGAGAACCCAAAAAAGTGCAGAAAAAATGTGATGTTTTAATTAAATGAGCTTTAGATAAATCTGTTCAAGAAAGGATAAAGTGAGGAGTGAACTCTTTTTCTGCTTTAATAAATTTTTCTCGGTCAAAAAAATTTAGATGGCAAAGAAAAATCTTTTCCAGCTAGCTGGCATGCCATTGAAATAAATAAAAGTTGGGTGCAATATTGATTAAATAATTTAATGGCATGCATAAATTTCAATTAAATTGTACTTTTATTTTTTTTTTTAGGTTTACGAAAATTAATTGTCCAATACTATAAAAAACAGAAATTTCATCATATATATATAAATCATAATTGATGATTTCATAATTATGTTATCCAAATTAACAATTTTATAGGCTGTTTTATTATATTCATGGTACAATGCAACATAATTCACCTAAAAAATTATATTTGTGCAAAATAATTCCCAATTTGACGAGGAACTTCAAACAAGATTCAAGAGCAAGATCATTAATTTAAATAAAAGAATAAAAAGAACAAAACAACAAACATACGGGAAATGCTACCATCCCACTACGGGATGATTTCGTTGCTTTTTGTGCCGTAGATATACATGTAATCTAGTAATGTATAATCTACGCTTAAAAAAAAAGGTATTTATACTTTCAATCTGAAATGTCTGTACTTTAAAAAGAAAAACAAAGAAACAAACATAGAAATAAAGAAAGTCAAATTACCTGTTATGGATGGGATCTGGTCCATTTGGAATCCTTCTTTTGCTCACATAGTTGAGACCAAACTTTGAAACAACCCTATTTTGCTTATTTTTCTCCACATTATAATTTCCTTCCATAATGTTGCTCTTCATTTTTCTCCCTTCATTTTCTGCAAACCCTAAAACAACCAAGAAAAAAAGTACGACGACTAGCCGCAAAATCATCCTCTTTGGCTCCATTTTAACTCTCTCTAAACAATTTTTTTGGGCTTACGATAGAGTTAAGAACAAAAGAGATCGGTTATTAGGAGAAAAGAAAAACATTCGTTTTTGTTGTTGATATCTTGGAGAAGACGAAAATGGCATGCATGGTAACTAATAAGGAAAAATGAAGAACATATACAAAGAGTTTGTGTGTTAATAAGTGGAACAAGACTGCATGGTTAGGGTTAGTTTTCTTTATGGGTTTTTTTGAAAATTTGGCTCTATTTGTTTGTGAGAGAGAGAGAGAGAGAGAGAGAGAGAGAGAGAGAGAGAGA